CCAACAGCTTCTGTGCAGCCTTCACCACTCTCTGCAAAGCTTTTCTTTCTGCAGCTGTGCAGCCTCCATGCCACACGTTGATGCTGTCGATTGCAGTAATGTACAAAGTTAGAGAGTTATTCAATGATAAAGCAATGTTTCTATTGTATAATGCCATTATTGTTCCACATTTAATTTACTGTATTGAAGTCTGGGGTAAAGCATGTAAAACAATTACAAATCCAATTTTTATTTTACAGAAAAGAGCCATAAGAATTATTACCAGAAAAGATTATAACCATCCGTCAAATATATAGTTTCATCAGCTAAAGATATTAAAATTTTATGACTTGGTTGATTACAATATCTTACTGTTTATGTATGGGGCCAACAAAAACATACTACCTACTAACATTCAAGGGAAATTTGTTAAAAGAGAAAGTAATTATTATCTTAAGGGGATGGAGATGTTTGTGAAGCCGTGGTGTCGCACCAGTCTGAAGATGTGATCCACTAGATCTCAGGGTATTAGATTGTGGAATGACCTGGAGGTTGATGTTAAAAATGCCAAAACTATGTACATATTCAAGAAGATGATAAAAATTTGTTTTTAAAAGATATTAAGTATAATGTGAGTTCATAAAAATTGTTTACAGTTGATCTTATATTTTAGCTAAGATTTTTTAAAATTATTTTTTATTATTTGTTTTTTTTTTTTTATTAATTCATCTTGCTTTTGTATAGTAATTTTGTTTGGAATATATTTTGGGGACAAGGGGCAGATATTATAAGAACTCATTCTTCTTCTGCTGCCTTTCATTTTATTTCTGTGATTGTATATCTTTTTTCTTTTCTTTAAATTGTATTATATTTGTTGTTTGGATGAAATTAATAAATAAAACATACATACAGACAAACAAACGAGACAAACAACCATTCACTCTCTCACTCACACCTAGGGACAATTTAGAGTTACCAATCAGTCTAACATGCATGTTTTTGATCTGTGGGAGGAAACTGGAGTACCTGGAGAAAACCCACGCATGCACGGAGAGAACATGCAAACTCCACCCAGAAAGGCCCCTGGACCGGGGTTTGAACCAAGGACCTGCTCTCTGAGAGGCAGCAGCTCTACCAGTTGCACCACCGTGCTGCCCCCACAATTTATCATCAAAGGTTATTTTATTCTTAACACCGTATGACAGACCTGCAGAACTGTCCTTGATTCAACATTGTCCACTGACAGCTGTGAAGACGCAGTCTGCTTTTAAAGTAGATTAATGATATATACTGAACTGTACGGGTTTTCACTGCATTTAGTAAAACAAACAACAAAAACCGTGACCTCGGAGCTGCTGCATACAGTTGGAACAGAATTTGTTGGATGTGGCTCCTTAAATGAACAGTTTATTCTTATTTAGTGGCTTATATCTCAGGAGACAAAAATAAAAAATAAATTGTAACAAGAATCAAAAAAAAAAACCGAATTAGCAAAACTTTACAAAAACTGTCTCCTGTGGTTTTACAACACTGTTAAAGATTGTAGAATCACATGATCTCCTGCAGTAAATGGAGCGTTCGTTTTCATTTTGCTCACAAAAAACCTAATACAAAAACTCCAACTATTTATATATAGATTCAAGATACTCAAAGTGCTTTACACTACAATCTGTGCCCTCATGTACCCATTCATATATATACACTGCCCAAAAAATAAAAGAAACACCTAACAAAACAATGTAACTCCAAATCAGTCACACCTCCCCGGGTGCTGTCAGTAGCTGCCTACTGCTCCACCTGCGGGTGGATGGGTTAAATGCAGAGACTAATTTTGTCGTTGTATGGAAACATACAATGATGACAACTATTATTATTAATTATTATTAGTAGATGTAATCTGCAGGCGCTTCTTCAGGTCGTCCTCCATCCCTCATCGTCAGCAGGCAGTGGTATGATCATATTGACCTGTTAGAGCTCTGACAGGTGGTGTTCCTATACGTTTAAATAAATGCACAATGCTCAGAGAAACTACCTCGTACTGTTCACACACAAACAACCGCTGGTTCTGGTCCGCGCCAGAAGTCGCACCCACAATCCATGCAAGGAAACACGGGGGGTAGGAATACGGTGGATACAAAGTATTCATTCCCTGGGTGTTTTATGCTTTTAGTGCAGTGATAAATCAATCACTGTCAATAGACATTTGTATCCCTTAAAAACATTTAAAAAATAAGTACTTTTTTTACAGATTAATAAAAAATAAAAATATGTAATATATGTGAATGCAACAAAATTGATCCCTTTCAAAGTAACTCCTAATTCAAATCATAAATTAATTATTGAAAAGCACAAGTCAGATGGGCACAAAAGGGTTTCCACTGCCCTAAACTTTCCCAGTTTTGTTAAATCCATTCAAGAAATGGAAGGAATATGGAACATGTGTAAATCTACCAGGAGCAGGTCGTTCTCACAAACTAAGTGACTGTGAAGACGAGTGAGAGATCACCAAGACACCTGTTAGCACTCTAAAGGAGTTATCTGAGCGGCTGAGCATACAGCAACTGTTGCCCAGGTTCTGAGAGGCTGAGCATACAGCAACTGTTGCCCAGTTCTTCACCAGACTGAGCATACAGCAACTGTTGCCC